AGGGATGAAGGTTTGTCTCTTTTGGCCATGGAATGACGCTTGTTCTTGTGGTGTGCGCCAGGGCGGCGTCGCCGGGCGAGCGGCGCGAGTGGACGGACGAGGAGAAGCGACGCAAGAAGAAGGGCTTCACGCTGGACTTCTCGCCGCTCGTCGACAAGGGGCCCCCCGCGGCCGACGCCCCACGTGAGTGCCCGTTCGCGCGACCTCCACCGCACACCAGCCGACCTTCACATCGCGAAATGGAACGACGTTTGCAGTATCGGGCCGAAGGGTCACGGTTTCAAAATCCACCTTTGGCATGAACGTGGATTACGTGTGTGTTGAGGTATTGTGGGGCTCGCCCGACCAACATGTATCAACGCTCTTCCTGCTACTCCGAGTCGGTCTGGATAACGCAAACAAACGCATTGCCATAAACCCTTTTTTCGGTAGTGAGGTCCCACAAAGCGTGACTTTTGATTACACAATGGGTTTCAGGAAATAATAACAATAGAAAAAGAAACAATCGAAATAGTAAGCAGATTTATTCACTTTTTGGATACGAGAGCCCCCACAAGACGAGTTTTCTGTTCAAAAACCTCCACATTTTGATGCAGATCTTTATTACGTCAATGCGTACTAGGTAAAAAGGCAAAACTTACAGAAATTAAATTTACGAAATACATTCTTTACACAATGCATATATATACACCAGATCAGATATTACAATATTTCTCTTCTTGGAACTTTAGTTAATAAGAAACACAAGGGTAGCAGCATTTTATATCAAGAACTAGTCACATCAGGACTCTGGGTTCGAGTCCTGCTACTGGCATGCATGTTTGCGTGTGTTAAGAGGCATTGTGGGGCTCTCTCGATCGCCATGGGTCACTTTCCAACCCCCTTCCAACTTCCGGCACTTGCGTTCCAATTCTCGTTACATCAATCTGCAGGTTCGACTTCCTCCTCAGCCATAGAAGTTTTTTGGTATGATGTAACATACTTCTCCCAACAACTACATTACCAACAAGCAATTTTCGTCAATGACCTCTGTGACTAAGAGGTCGGTGTTAGGTGCCAGGCTATGAATAAAACGCCTCTGTTTCCCTGTACAGCAGGCTTCCCAAAACTCTCTTAAGTCGTACGGGTGGCCACTATTTCAAGCTGAGTGTAGTGCGGCACAATGTAAGGACAAAAAATTTGCAGCATGCGTCACTAAAGGTTGCCACACTTAAGATGGGATGGGGCACATGGGTTGTGGAAAATTAATTATTCTTTTAGCATTGCACTTTATTATTCTCTTCAAATCGATTATTATTCAGTTTCACTCATTGAAAATAATAAAGTTGTCTAAAGTCTATTTTTACGATTAAGTTTAAACGACGTATTCTAATTTTGTTTGCTTTTAATTTTATTCTTTAGAAAAGTTAATATTATTTTCAAAGAGACTTATACAAATTGGTATAAATTGGGTTAGTAGTGAAATAATATTTTCTGTTTGAAATATTTGTTTGTGTCGATTGAGAATAAAATTATTTATCTTATCAAGAACAACGAAATAAATAATAATGTAGGAAATGAATGGTAATTTTCATAGAGAGTGGAAATAGATGAAAAAATTGTGTATAACATTTATTTATCACTTACGATTTCAAAACATTGATGCTAATATTCGGTGAAGTTTGGGTGCCTACTACACTTTGTTGCAACTAATTCCAGTAGTCCTTTTCCTCAACAATGTTGCACTAAAGCCTAACACCTGTTCTTGTTGGTAAACGTCACTGCAATGGTGTATTATGCAGAGATTCTAACATCCAGAAGCCCGTGCTGCTACAACTATTAATCAGACGAAATATGTCCCCGACACCTCTCCCGCAGCCTTTGTCTGGGAAATTAATGATGTAGGTGCTGCAGTATAGCACAAGATGCTCCAAAGTGTTGCGCGTACACTCCACTTTTCCCAGCAAGAATTTGCTTCTCTCGTGGAACATATGTCATGCAATATTTTAAATTTTATTCATTTTAGAGTTTTTAAACTAGTGACGCTACAACAGCACTTGTTATCTTGCATTATTTGTAACTTTTGCAATTTTTCAAATTTAAGAGTTCAACAAAAAATTATACTTGTGTTTCTTTTTTCATTTTTTTATGCTTTGAATTTGTTTATAATTTTAAATCGTTGAAACATTAAAGAAAAACTTAATAAGAAAATTTCTTTTTAATTGCCATCAAGAAAACATTACAGGAAATCTACTAATACGTTCAAACAATTCCACATCATTCTAGTAAAGATATAATTTTGAAGAACTTATTTCATTAACAGAAAATTTCTATTATCAATATTACGTTTTTGCAACGTAAATTCTTTTAGGTTTCAGTTTTTTAAATACAGAGAGTTTCCCGAATACGTGATCTCTACCATTTTTATAAACTTTCTTTGCTCTATTCAAGACTTTTTTAATTTGAAGCCGTTTTGATAAAAAAAATTAAATTCTTATATTTCGGGCAAATTTCCAGGAAAAATTATATTTCGGAATTATGATCTCATTCAAATATCTGTCTTTGAAAAATATTTCATTAAGAACAAAATTTGTTTATTCTATATTTTACTTGTAGGAAAACGTCGAAAACTGTTTGAATTTCTGCAATTCAAAAAATGCAGAGGTCAACGAAAATAAGATCTACGTCATTTTTAAGCGTCCTTTTCTCTATATGATATAAAAGAATTCAAACATTTGGAACCATTTTTGAGAATGTTTTGAAAATATTGCGAAGGCTTTATGTAAAGTACTCCCAAATCAGAATATCTGTTTCTAATCTGTAGAGCATAAAGTTCGGCCAAATCGATCTGGGAAAATTATTTTCAGAGAAATTTTCGTCTTAACGGTTTACACAGTACCGTTGACCATAGACGGACAGATAGACGAACAGACGCGATGCCGTAAACCAATTTTTTGGTATTGAGGACCCACAAAACGTGACTTTTGATTACACAATGGGTTTGAGGAAATAATAACAATAGAAATCGAAACAATAGGAATAAAAAACACATTTATTCATTTTTTTATATCAGGGTTCTCACAAGACGAGTTTTCTGTCCACAATTCTTCACTTTTTGCTGCATATCTTTATTACGTAAGTAAGTAGAAGGCGAAAAAGAAAAAAATCAGAAATTAACTTTACAAAGTGCTTTCTGGTATATATTACAATATTTATCTTCTAGAAAATGTATCCCTAAAGAAACCTCTCTGTGTTTTTTCTATAATTAAAAAAAATAATACAGAGTTTCCGTTAATTCAAATATTACAAACAATACGTGTGGAACTTAAGTTAAAACTAAAAAGGTTCAAATAGAGTTGTAATTGTGCAATCAGGCCACTCCCTACACGTATGTTCTATTTTTAAAGCTCACTCTGGCTACTTACGGTTCGCACGTGTTAAAAGTAGCATCGACGGCGTCATGCGTGAAGTGACAATGATTCTCTCCACGCCTACGACACATGTGATGGAATAATGGCTTATTTCCTCTATCAAATGATGCTAAAGTAAGAATTGCGGACACCATTACTACAAAGAAATGAGTAGAATTGGTGGTACATAAAGACATTAAAGAATATATACATGTGGTTTTGGCAAGCGAATCACTAATGTCCTAAATTAAATATTATCAAAATCTCCGGAGAAGAACGAGTATTGGCATCCTCCAAGCTATCCCTTCACACTATTTTTAATCCACGTATACTAATGTAATCGACATATAATAATGCAAGGTCTCTACAGCCGAGTAACCATAAAATTATTGCAAACAGATACACATTTTAAGCATACACTTGAAATCTGCTGATCAAATTAAGTTTTATGAATTTCACATGCGAGTGCTAAGTGAGATGTCTCAAACGTGTCACCGTCTGAGTTGCCTCATATCACTCCCCTGTTGTCGCATTAGTGCGTGTTATAGGGAGGTTCCAGTGTTCGAGTTCTGTTTATGGCGGGATTTTCGACACTAGCTCGATAGGTAGATAGAATCCAGCTGTTGTCATAAGCTGCCATATTGCAGAATGACAATGCGCCCATACACACAGCAAAAAAGGTTCAGGCGTGGTTTGTGGTGGATCAAAATATCATCAAACGTCTTTCCTTGAACTTACAATCGCCAGATCGTTATGCGGTGGTTTGACGCAAAGAATGAGGACTAGATTTCACAGCATTGAAGCAATGGGCGGATGTTTTGGTACAATAATGAAGAAACATTCTGTTGGAAACTATTCAGATACTCTAGAATCTATTCCGCGTCAAATTGCAGATGTTTTTAAAAGCAAATGGTGGTCCAACACCTTTTTAATGAATAAATATTTTGTATAAGTCAAGTGATTGTATTACATAGTCCAACTCATATATTCCCACCTTCAAAACAAAGATTTACAATACGTGAAATTTTCTCACTGGAGTTACCAAATAAATAAACATACAAATAGATATATAGCTATAATTCATCTTTTCGCTCTTATAAAATGAACTATATTTTGACTTGCATTGGGCATGCCATTGTGTCAACTTAATATTCAACTTCAATGTCACCTATTTTGATAGTTATCGAATAATCATTTAGAAAAACGATAATTATTTTTCTAACTTAATTTTACATCTTATAATTAAGCATGTCTCGGCCTTGCTATACCGTTTATAAAGTCTTTTTGCAACTTCTCGTCTAATCTTTCCTTTGCAAAGATATTTCAGCAATCTTGGCGTTGTGACGAGATAAGCGACTATTTCCCTATTTCCACACTGGAGCTCTTTATATTACCACACTGAACTTACTTTATACGTTTCATTACAATTCGCGATCTAAATTTTTCACGAATATTATTTTTTCGCTAATCGGGTTTAGCTCTATTCCCCATTTTCTAATAATCATGGACCACATGTCCATTTTCTACCTCTCACAAACTAAAAACAAATGTTTTTACTTAACGGTCAGACGATCACAGATCCTCACGCTACCAAATTCAAAATCGTTGCTCCTAAAATAGTTTGTTTTCACCACCGATCTGTGTTAAAAAGTTCGCTTATTTGATTGCTATTCTTCGAATCGATGCGTTCTTGTCACCCCCGAAAACCATGTATCTAGGACTCTCTTGACTTGTTATCAACAATGCCTCATGTATTTAATATGCTTTGTTTTCGAAAAAAATGTTTACATTGTCCAAAATTTATTTAATCAATATAATATTTTCATTTTCTGATGCCTTGCATCCCCGATGACTCATTTTAATATGTATCTTTACGTAATTCCTCATATTTCACATGTTACACGGCATTAATGTTTTTGCTTTTCGAATACAAAAGTCCCGAACGGTATTTTGCATTCCCTCAATATAAATCAATGCATTGAGTAATGGCTTCTTTCCTCTACCCAATACAGGAAGTGTGGGGACCGATGATATTGATTATGACCCGTTTTACCGTGTGCGCTTTCAGCGTCGTGGAGCCGTCGCAGCCCCGGGCGGGAGCGCGGGCGCCCATCGCCTTCGGAAGCGC